TCACCCCCTTCTCTCTCCCCCCAATTGTATTAATTTTTCATCCCCCAAAATTTTTTGTTATCTATAACTTTACTTTTCCCTGTATTCCCTTTAATTTTCTTCTTTTGCACCCCTCCCAAAATTCATCACCAATCCCCTGAAAATTCTTTTCGAATCTCCCAAGAGCACAGTGTCATCAGCAAAGAGAGCTGTGAAAACTCCCACTTTGTGTGTGATTCTTTATCTTTTAAACTCCCGCCTTTCCCAAGACCCTGCATTTACTTTCTTTTAACCCCATCTATAAAATATATTAAAAAAACCACGGTGAACATCAACCCTTTGTCAAAGGGCCTACTTTTATGGGAAAAAAATTTCCCTCTTTTCCATACTTAATTGACCCTCCTATCCTCGTAAAAAAACTCTTCACTGCTTTCATAACTACCCCCTACACCATACACTTGCAACATCTCCCAACATTGCCCCCTATCCCCCCCTGTCAACGCCTTTTTCCAAATCCTAAATGCCCAAAGCCCTTTTAGCCTTATCTAAATAGTTACTTTAGTTTCACTGTAAAACACCTGGTACACACCCCTCCCTTTCAAAAAGCTCCTTGTTCTTTGCTACCCTATTTCCGTCTTACTCTTAAATTTTTTAAAATTTTTAACTCTCCCATACACTTTACCGGTACATAAAACAGACTTATCCCCCTATATTTTTGCACTCTTTTTTTCCCCTTTGTTTTTATAAAAGGAAAAACTAGATGCTCTCTGCCAACCCCAGGTCCTTTACCCTTTCCATACTTTTTTAAAATTTAATTGCCCCAAACCCCACCCCAAAACTACCCCCCCACTGCTTTTAAATTTCTATTTTTATTCATCAATCCGGTGCCTTCCCCCCTTTCATTTTACCTCTCCCTCCGAACTTCCCCCACACTCACAACTGGTCTTCTCATTACAAGATTTTTTCCCCCTTTTCCCCTTTTTCACAAAAATACAGTTTCCCCATCTTCTAAAACTTTCAACTAAAAAAATTTTTCCCTTCCCTCTTCCAATACTCTAACTCTCCTTTTAATTTTAACTTTCCTCTCTTTTTTTTAAACAGACAAATCCATTTGTTCTCTAGGCTTTTTTAATTGTTAATTAAACCCCCAAAATTTTTTTTTTTTTTCAACAAAATTTGTTGATACATCTCACCCATCTCTCTTTTGCCCCTTTTTTTTTACATTGTTTCACCCTCTTTTAAATTCTCTCTTTTTCTAAAATTTACTTTCCCCCTTGCATCACTTTTTTATTTTTGTAAAAAATTCTCATATGCAAAATTTTTTCTCCTTATCTCTCTTTACATTCATTCCCACCTTTGTCCTTTTCCCTCCTGCACCCACTTTCCCGTCCACAAACTTCTGCTGAACACTCTAACTTACATTTTTAAACTTACCCATCCCTCTTGACCCATGCCTATCTCTCATTAGCCCATCTATTCTACCCTAACTGCTCCTCTTTTAGTTTATAAACCTTTACTCTCTTTTTCCCTATGCTTCTATTCCCCTTTGTATCCCATTCCCTTTTTTACTCTCGTTTTAGCTAAAAATAGAAGTGATTGATATACTGTGGCCCCTCTATAAACATGTACATCCAAAAAGTCTACCAACAGCTTTTATTACCAATACTAATCAAAAACTACTGTCATTTGGGCCCAATCATATCGTGTATAATTATTTATTCCTCTTTTTCTTAAATTGTATTTACCTAAAAACTAAACCCTTTCTATAAAAGTCAATCAAAGGGTCCATGTAGATGTATATGACTAAAGATCAACTGGGAACTCTTAATTATGTTTAATGGTTGATGTATACAAAGAGAAACTTTAGTGATAGTGAAATTTGTTTTAGAATCACTTTGGATTTGTAGTGTAATGGTATACAAGAGATCACTTTATTGTATTGTAATGTATAAAAAGAAATCCTTTGTAGTGTAGTGTATGTATAAAAGAGGTCACCTTCCAAGGTAGGGGTAAACCAAAAATTAAACTCATTCATATTATTCAATGGTTTTTCATGCCTAAAGTGTAGGGACAAACATTCAATTTTTTCCCCCCCCCAAACTGAAATATTGCCATCCTTCTTCATAGTATAGGCATGTTCTGCCCATCAGAACTGACTGATTTGTTTCCTAAATTTCCCTTCATGAATGTACTAAAAACAAAACATTACGGGATTTTCAAGTTTCTCTCCGCTCATTTCCGATTAAAAACACAGCATCAGATATGCTCAGTAAGTGGAAATGATCTCGGTGAAGAAGTGGCGGAGGCATGCTCATACTAGTTTAACCTTTTATGTCCAGACCCCCCAAATGAGACAGGGTCTCATTTTTCAGAAATTTTTTAAAAAAAAAAAAATTTCTTCTGAAATTGTGAAAAATGTTTTCTAAAGGTAAAGCACCAAAGGTATGAATTTGATGAAAAAATTTGGAGTTACGCAGGAGCAAAGTTAGTGGTTTTCAAACTCGGTTTACACCAGTGATTTTCCCACTTGTGAATCATATTTTTTAGGCCAGTTCATGTGTATTTGACACAATGCCTTTTTTCTGTTGACTGAGCATAAACCTTTCAACATTCAGCTATTTGGAATATCCTATACAGTGATCAGAATTTTGTAATTTGGCCATTTTTTCACAAAAAAATTAAAAAATACCGTTTAAAAATTGAGCAAAATAAACAATGAAAGACTTTCCTGGCACAAAAAACACATTTCTCTGTTTATTAGTCAGGTCTCAGGCTTTTTTAAATTTACAACTTGCTTACATTTTAAATTCTTATCTACAAAAAAAAGAAGTACTCTATTCTTGGATAATAAAATAAGCAGGAAAGGTAGGGGGAGTAACAGAAATAATATACTTGTTCCATTGCATTTAAAAAAAAGGGAACAGTGGATGATAGAATTTTGAGGAGGATTTTCCGGTGGGATATGCAAAGTCAGTTATATGTGCGAAAATGATGGTGGAAATTTGTTTTTCTTTTTTGGGTCACCTGCCTGGTGGTTAGATGGCAGTGTGTCGAAAAAAAAAAAAATGGCAAGGAGGTTATTTTGGAAAGTTGTTTAAAGAAAATAAGTGAACAGAATTAGATAATTTTTTTTTTTTTTTTTTTTTTTTTTTTTTTTTTTTTTTTTTTTTTTTTTTTTTTTTTTTTTTTTTTTTTTTTTTTTTTTTTTTTTTTTTTTTTTTTTTTTTTTTTTTTTTTTTTTTTTTTTTTTTTTTTTTTTTTTTTTTTTTTTTTTTTTTTTTTTTTTTTTTTTTTTTTTTTTTTTTTTTTTTTTTTTTTTTTTTTTTTTTTTTTTTTTTTTTTTTTTTTTTTTTTTTTTTTTTTTTTTTTTTTTTTTTTTTTTTTTTTTTTTTTTTTTTTTTTTTTTTTTTTTTTTTTTTTTTTTTTTTTAATTTGTCCCCCCATTTTGTTTTGACCCCCCATTTTTCCCCCCCCCCCCCTTTCCCCCCCCCTTTAGATTCCCTTTTTTAAAATTAAAAAATTTTTCCCCAAAAATTTAAAATGTGGTAAATAAAAAAATCCCATGGGTTTTGAACCCCTTTTTTCCCATAAGCTTAAAAAAAATAAAAGGAACTTTTTTCAAAAAAGGCCATACCCCCTTTTAAAGGTTAAAAAAGGAAAAAAAAAAATTTTCCCTTTTCCTGTAGTGAAGGAGGCGGGTAGGGTCGGCCTAGGAAGGGTTGGAGGGAGGGGTGTAAAGGAGGTTTTGTGTGCGAGGGGCTTGGACTTCCAGCAGGCATGCGTGAGCGTGTTTGATAGGAGTGAATGGAGACAAATGGTTTTTAATACTTGACGTGCTTTTTGGAGTGTGAGCAAAGTAACATTTATGAAGGGATTCAGGGAAACCGGCAGGCCGGACTTGAGTCCTGGAGATGGGAAGTACAGTGCCTGCACTCTGAAGGAGGGGTGTTAATGTTGCAGTTTAAAAACTGTAGTGTAAAGCACCCTTCTGGCAAGACAGTGATGGAGTGAATGATGGTGAAAGTTTTTCTTTTTCGGGCCACCCTGCCTTGGTGGGAATCGGCCAGTGTGATAATAAATAAAAAATAATAATTCTATGGTGAACCTTGTCCCTCATAAACCCATCTGCTGACAGATCTACTCTCAAATATCTGAACACATTCACTTCTTCCATACTCCCTCCCTCCAATGTGATATCCAATTTTCTTACCTAAATTGTTTGATACCTTCATCATCTTACTTTTATCTATGTTCACTTTCAACTTTCTTCCTTTTCACACCTTCCTAAACTCGTCCACTAACCTTTGCAACTCCTCTTTAGAATCTCCCAAAAGCACAGTATCATCAACAAAAAGTAACTGTGTCATCTCCTATTTTGTATTTGATTCCCCATAATTTAATCCCACCCCTCTCCCCAACACCTTAGCATTCACTTCTTTTACAACCCCATCTAAAAACATGTTAAATAACCATCGTGACATTACACATCGCTGTGTAAAAGTCAACTAAAATACCAGGAGCAGTGGGTTAGTAACCCCTTTTCCCATACAGCTTACTAAAAATAAATAGGTAATTCTTTTTCTTTCAAGAAACTGGCCATATCCCACTGAGACAGGGTGGTCCAAAAGGAAAAACAAAAGTTTCTCCTTTTAAATTTAGCAATATATTCAGGAGAAGGGGTTAGTAGCCCTTTGCTCCCGGCATTTTAGTCGCCTCTTACAACACGCATGGCTTATGGAGGAAGAATTCTGTTCCACTTCCCCATGGAGAAAATAGCTAATTATTCTTCTTTCAACAAACCGACTGTATCCCACCAAAGCAGGGTTGCCCAGAAAGAAAAACAGAAGTGTCTCCTTTTAACTTTAGTAATGTATACAGGAGAAGGAGTTACTAGCCCAGCCCCTTGAAAATGTGTTATTATACACATTAAAAAGTAAGATTTGCAGTGATTGACATTAGGTTTTAAGCTTTTGAATCCCACCACATATATATAATAACATTGCTTGGCACACTATTTACAGGCATGTGTGGCTACAGCAGACCAAGTGAGCTTCAGAGTGAAGTTGGAGGTTCATTCACTACAGAAATCATTGATGAATATGCTGAGGCAACAGCAAATATGCTGAGCCAGATTAAACCTCATGCAGTACTCTCTCTTGAATCTGGTGGAATCTTTATGAGGTCAGCCTCTTTAATCATTTTTTTATTCTTGGATATTTTAATTAGTGGTGATCATCTGTTCTTAGTTACAGGAGCTGAAAATACTATGTCCTCTTCCAGGTGTGTTGATGTAGATGTATATGACTCAAGCATCACCTGGGAACCTCTTAATTATGATATATTGTGATGTATACAAGAGTCACTTTAGTGATAGTGTAATGTATACAAGAATCACTTTATTTGTATTGTAATGTATACAGAATCTCTTTAGTAGTGTAGTGTAATGTATAAAAGAGGTCACCTTCCAAGGTAGGGTAAACCAAAAAATTAAACTCATTCACTATTATTCAATAGTTATCATGCCTAAAGTGTAGGGACATAACAATTCAAATGTCCCCCCCCCAAACTGAAATATTGCCATCCTTCCTTCATAGTATAGGCACTGTTCTGCCCACATCCAGAACTGACTGACTAGTTTCCCTGAATCCCTTCATGAATGTTACCTAAAACAACAACATTACAGATTCTTCAAGTTTCTCTCCGCTCATTCCGATCTAAAACACACGCATGCAGATATGCTCAGTAAGTGGAATGATCTCGGTGAAGAAGTGGCGGAGGCATGCTTCATACATAGTTTTAACCCTTTCACTGTCCAGAATCCCCAAATGAGACATGCTCTCATTGTTCAGAAATTTTCTAAAAAAAAAAAAAATTTCTTCTGAAATTGTAGAGAATGTTTTTCTGAAGGTAAATGCACCAAAAGTATGAATTTGATGTAAAACTTGTGGAGTTATGCAGGAGCAAAGTTAGTGGTCTCAACTCGGTTTACACTCCAGTGATTTTCCCACTTGTGAATCATATTTTTTAGGCCAGTTCCATTGTGTCATTTGACACAATGCCTTCCGTTCTGTTGACTGAGCATAAGACACCTCACATTCAGCTATTTGAACTATCCTATACAGTGATCAGAATTTTGTAATTTGGCCAGTTTCACACAAAATTACAAAAATACCAGTTTAAAAATTGAGCTCAAAATAAACAATGTAGACATTCCTGGCACTAAAACCACATTTCCTCTGTTTATTAGTCATGTCCTCAGGCCTCTCTTATATTACACTTGCTTACCATTTTAAATTTTATTCATACAAAAAATAAAGAAGTACTCTATTTCTTCTTTCTTTCTTTCAACACATCGGCCGTATCCCACCGAGGCAGGGTGGCCCAAAAGGAAAAACGAAAGTTTCTCCTTTTACATTTAGTAATATATACAGGAGAAGGGGTTACTAGCCCCTTGCCCCTGGCATTTTAGTTGCCTCTTACAACACGCATGGCTTACGGAGGAAGAATTCTGTTCCACTTCCCCATGGAGGTAAGAGGAAATAAACAAGAACAAGAACTAGAAAGAAAATAGCAGAAAACCAAGAGGGGTGTGTATATATATGCTTGTACATGTTTGTGTAGTGTGACCTAAGTGTAAGTAGAAGTAGCAAGACATACCTGAAATCTTGCATGTTTATGAGACAGACAAAAGACATCAGCAATCCTACCATCATGTAAAACAATCACAGGCTTTCGTTTTACACTCACTTGGCAGGACGGTAGTACCTCCCTGGGTGGTTGCTGTCTACCAACCTACTACCTATAAAGTACTCTATTTCTTGGATAATAAAATACAGCCAGGAAAGGTAGGGGGAGTAACAGAAATAATATACTCTGCTATCATATGCACTTAAAAAAGACAGTGGATGATAGAATTTTGAGGAGGATTTTCAGGTGGGATATGCAAAGTCAGTTATTATGTGCGAATGATGGTGAAAGTGTTTTTCTTTTTTGGGTCACCCTGCCTCGGTGGTAGATGGCCAGTGTGTCAGAAAACAAAAAAAATATGCAAGACGGTTATTTTTGGAAAGCTTGCTTAAGTAGATAATAGGAGTAGAACAGATTAGAATAATATACTATATATTTGTACAGGATTATATAGGATAGATACATTGCTTAGTGGATTATCTTTAAATTCACTTAGAACTTGCTTTATTTAAAAATATTAGTTTTATGAAATTTTTTACAAAAAAATTTATTTGTGTGGTTAATATTTGACAGGTTTCCCCATGATGATCCATCTGCTAATCCTCCCACTACTCCAGATGAGACTGTCTTCCAATTTTTGACAGAGGCATATGCAAGAGCACACCCTACAATGTTGCAGGTAGTAATACTACTGTATTATAGTGTTGCACTGTTATACCACTGTGCTATGAGGCTTTATATTGCTGTATCTGGACAGACTTGAATGACAGGCAAACTTTTAGAAAATATTTGCTGAACAGACTTGGAGGGCTATATGGTTGGAAGGGGGCTAGGTGACTTGTTTTAAAGAAGGGGCATATTATTATTATTATTATCTATATCTAAGATGTCCAATTTTTGTTGTAATACCCATATTTTCTTTTATTTCTGTATTTATCTTTTTTATAATATATAAAGGAGGAGGCAGTTAGGGTAAGATATTAACAACTACTGGAAGGAAGATGGAGTAGAGAGAGTATTGGCATTGAGGTATGGGATAGATTTAAGAATGTAGTGTTAAGAATGTTCAGCAGAAGTGTGTGGTTACAAGAAAGTGAATGCGGGAGAAGAAGAGCGTTTCATGGAATGATGAGGTAAAGAGAGTAGTAAGAGAAAAAAAAGTTAGCATATGAGAGGTTTTTACAAAGTAGAAGTGATGCAAGGAAGGAGGAATATATGGAGGGAAAAAGAAAGGTTGAGAGAGTGGTGAAGGAATGTAAAAGGAGAGCATATGAGAGAGTGGGTGAGATGCTATCATCCAATTTTTTCTGAGAATAAGTGTAAGTTTTGGAGTGAGATTAATAAGTTAAGGAAGCCTAGGGAACTAATGGATTTGACAGTTAAAAATAGGGAAGGAGAGTTATTAGATGGAGAGTTGGAAGATCGGGAAGATAGAGGGAATATTTTGACGAGCTGTTAAATGTTTGATGAAGATAGGGAAGCTGTGATTTCATACATTGGGCAGGGAAGTATAACATCTTGTAAGAGTGAGGAAGAGCCAGTTGAGTGTGGGAGTGTGTGTGATGCAGTGGGTAGAATGAAAAGGGTAAAGCAACTGGGATTGATGGGATAAGATAGAAATGTTGAAATCAGGTGGGATATAGTTTTGGATAGTTGAATAGTTGGTGCTTTTATTTAACCCTTTCATTATCAGTCACATAATATTATGGCTTACAAGCCAGTGTTGGTCCCGTAATACTACGCCAAAATTCTAGCGCTTGCAAATCTGGTGGGAGAAAGCTGATAGGCCTGCATGTGAGAGAATGGGACTGTGTGCTCAGTGTGCACAGTATAAAAAAATCCTGCAGCAGGCAGTGCATAATGAGAAAAAAAAATCAGACTGCGTTTTTGGTATAGAACACCGACTTTGCGGTGTATTTCCATGTGGTATTTATGGTTGTATTCTCATTTTCTTGGTCTTATTTGATATTAAGGAAGATAAATTACAGAAATAGAGATGATTTTTGAATGGTTTTCTGACTAAAAGTACCTTAAAATTGAGCTCAGAGTAGCGGAAATGTTTGATTTTTGCCGATGTTCAAGAGTAAACAAATCACACCACACGTCCAATACACATCAACTGGTGGGTCTAATATGCTTTCACAAATGTGCTGATATTATTTATTTAATTTTTGACAATAATGCAGTAGTCTGCATAACAGTAAATCATTTATTTTTTGTGTGAACAAAAATTCAAAATGAAAAGCAGGTGTAATATTAGAGGGGCCTGGAGACATGACTAATAAACAGAGAAAATGTTATTTTAGTGCCAGGAATATCTGCATTGTTTATTCTGGCCCCTATTTTGAAATTGGCCTTACTTGAATTGTGTATGAAATTGGCCAAATTACCAATTTCTGATCACTTTATTGGGTAGTTGAAATCAAGTAAATGGGCAGTTTATTGTACTCAATTGATAGAACAAATGGAGTTCTAGTGAAATAGCTATGAGTTTGTTTGACTGGAAGAATGGAATTGGCCAAAAATAGGGCTCAAAGTGGGCAAAATCGGCTATGCATAAATATCACCGAGACCACTAACTTTGTGAGAGCGTAATTCTGTAAGTTTTCCATCAAATTTTGTTTTTTTGGTGTCATTACCATCGGGAAAAGATTCTCAATCATTTCATAAGAATTTTTGTTTTTTTTAAATTCTTTGATACTGAGAGCAAGTTTGTGAGCAGATGTCTCGACAGTGAAAGGGTTAATAAATGTATGGAAGAAGGGAAGGTACTCCCTTCCTGTAACTTATTTCACCCCGAAATGTGTCACTCGTCACTCCGTGAAAGACAATGCTACAACATATACCTCCAGGCACATTATCTAAAAGGGACAAGAAGACACAGACCAGCCAGATTATGGGAAACAAAAGAGGGGAGCCATAACCTCTCCAGAGAAAGAGATTTTTTAGTGGCAGGAAGGAAAAAAGTCTGGCAAGAAGTGACAGAAATCTTACATGAACTGAAACACTTGTGGAGCAGAGGCACAGTCATTGGCCTCCACTCCAGAATAACAGATATTAGAGCCAGCAAATAAAACCCCCCTAAATTCCATCAATATAACGGCACTTGCCTTTGCAAACATACAGGGTCTAAAGCCGTCAACAAACAACAAAATTCCTTACATCAAGGGACTGCTCATGGAGTCAAATGCAATGTTTGCAGCTTTCACAGAGACCCACATTAAGGATCATTTTGACAGCGAAATATGGATCCTAGGTTATAACCTATTCAGATGCGACAGACTAAACAGGCAACAAGGGGGGTTTTGGTGGTAAAGATTGAAAGCCAAAACCTTGTCATTGTGGTTGTATACAAGCCTCCGGATGCAACTTCCCAGCAATTCCAGGAACAGCTCTTGAAAATTGACCACTGTCTGGAAAATCTCCCAACTCTTGCCCCAAATATCTTGCTTCTGGGAGATTTCAACTTGAGACACTTAAAATGAAGGAGTGTAGCAAATAATATTTTTGCAGAGATCACCCCAGGAAGCATCTCAGATGAAAATTCACACACACGCAAGCTATTAAATCTCCACACCAAATTCACCTTAAACCAGCAAATATTAGAGCCTACAAAATTAGAAAATAAGCTGGACCTCATCTTCACTAACGACAACGCTCTCATATGTAATATAACCGCATAAAAGACAAAACACTTAGGTCACAACATAATAGAGGTACAGACATGTATGCACAAGGCTCCTGGCCAGCAAAATGTGATCAGTCATGAGGGTGTCTTTACAAAATGCAACTTCAGTAACAGTAATGTGCAATGGGAACAAGTCAGCCATATCCTAAATGAAACAAATTGGGAAGATATCCTAAACAACATGGATCTGAACCTTTCCGTAGAAAAAATGAACTCTGTGGTTCTTGAGATCTGCTCGAGGCATATTCCTTTTAGAAAAAGAAAGAGAAGATATAAACTAGAAAGAGGGAGATGTTCCCTATACAGATGAAGGCGAAGAATCACAGAGCTGCTGAGAGGGGCCAATATATCTGAAATACGAAGGGAGGCACTGTCAGTGAAATTACAAATATCGAACTTAAGGTGAATGACTCTTACAGGAGACGAATAGCAGGAAGAACAAAAAGCCATGAAGGAAATTGAAAAAAAAACTAAATACTTCTTCTCTTATGACAAATCTAAGGAAAAAACAACATCCAGTATTGGGCCCCTGCTTAGGCGAGATGGGACATACACAGATGACAGCCAAGAAGTGAGTGAGATACTAAAGTCCCAGTATGACTCGCTGTTTAGCGAGCCATTACCCAGACTAAAGGTTGACAATCCAAATGAATTCTTTATGAACGAGACCCAAAATTTGGTCATCTCAAACATTTTATATTATCCTAACACCACAAGACTTTGGAGAGGCAATAAATGACATGCCCATGCACTCATGGGACTCCATGTTCATCAAGAACTGCAAGAAGCCCCTGTCACATGCCTTCAGCATTCTATGGGAAAAAGAGGACTTTTAAAAAAAAACCCCCCCCTTTTTTGGGGGTTTTTTTTTTTTTTTTTTAAAAAAATTTTTCCCCCTTTTTTTTTCCCCAAAAGGGGTTTTGGGGAAAAAAATTTTGTTTTTTGGGGGTCAAATTTTTTTTAAAAAATTTCCCCCCTTTTTTTGGAAAGGGAAATTTTTTTAAAAAAAATTTTTTGGGCCCCCCTTTCCCAAATTTTTTAAAAAAAAAAAGGGGCCCCCCCCTTTTCCTTTTTTAAAAAATTTTCCCCAAAAGGGGGGGGTTTTTTTTTTAAAAAATTTTTTTTTTTTTTTCCCCCCCCCCCCAAAATTTAAAAAACCCCCCCCAAAAAATTTTTTTTAAAAATTTTTTGGGGGGGTTTTTTTTAAAAAAAAAAAAACCCCAAAAAATTTTTTTTTCCCCCCTTTTCCTAAAATTTTTCCCCTTTTTAAGGTTTTTTTTTAATTTTTTTTTTTTTTTTGGTTTTTTAAAAGGGGCCCCCCAAAAACCTTTTGGGAAATTGGGGCCGGGGTTAAAAAATTTTTTTTTTGGGGGGTTGGGTTTTAAAAAAAAAGGGGGGTTTTTAAAAAAAAAAAAAGGGGAAAAAATTTTTTTGGGGGGGGCCCCCCAAAAAATTTGGGGGGGGGAAAAACCTTAAATTTTTTTAAAAAAAAAAAAAATTTTTTTTTTCCAAAAAATTTTTTTTTTTGGCCAAAAAAAAAAAAATTTGGAAAAATTTGGGGGGGGGGGCCCCCCTTTAATTTTTTAAATTTAAAATTTGGGGGCCCCCTTTTTTTAAAAAAAAGGGGGGTTTTTTTTTTTTTCCCAAAAAATTTTTTTTTGGGGGCTTTTTTTTTTTTTGGTTTTTTTTTTTTTTTTGGGGGGTTTTTTCCCCAAAAAAAAAACCTTTTTTTTCCCTTTTTTTTTTAACCCCCGGGGTTTGGGGGCCAAAAAAAAAAAAAACCCCTTTGGAAAAAAAAGGGAAAAAAAAAAAAAACCCCCCCCCCCCAAAAAAAAAAGGGGGGGGAATTAAGACCCCAAAATTCCCCAAAAAAAAAAAAAGGGGGGGGGGGGAAAAATTAAAAAAAAAAAATTAAATATTTGGGAAAAAAAAAAAGGGGGGGGCCTTGAAAGGGGGAAAATTAGAAAAAAAACCCCGGGGGAAAAAATTTG